GTACCTACTTGAAACTTCTAAAGTTTACTATTATATATATATGATAGTATCAGGGTTTGTTGTTAGTGTATAACGTGTTATAAGTACCTAATGGATATTGTGATAATGTGATATGATTAATTTGGAATTTATTATAGGTCAATTTTTTTTTAATACCATAGATATGTATATAATTTGTCTTAACCTAGACTGACATACCGTCTTCGCTCAGAATCGTTTTTCTTATACAATGATATTGTATCATTGAATTCAAATTTAATAGCATCAATTATACAGTGACCCACTTGTAACCTACTGTACAGCAGAGCGACATCCACTTACCCACCTTTTTTTTTTTAGATTCTGAGTGAAACGATGAATGTATTGATTTTACAATGATGTGTGTTTTTTTTTTTTGTGTGTCTGTGTACACGATAAGTAGTCGAAATAATGCTTCGATTTTCGACTTCAGTATCTTGTTCGATTGGAAAGTGAATATCGTTGGTGCATTGGGGAGGTCAAAATTTAAATTTCCCAGTAGTTTTCACAAGCGCCGGGAAAAACAACAGAAAAATGAAGGAAAAACGGGAATTTTTACGCAAAATCGGTTTTTGACAATATCGAATTTGGTTTTTGGTGTAACTTTAAAACAAATGACTGTAGGAACATGAAATTTTCACTGGTTGTTTATAATGGCATTTTCTATACACGATAACATTTTCAAAATATTTTGATTTATTTTGAACTGTTTAGGGACATTTTCATTTTCCATTTTTTTTTAGTTTTTTTTCTAAAAATATCAATAAAATTTTATTTGTTGGTTGCGAAAGCTTGAAAATTTAATAGAAGGCTCCTAATATGTTGTTTCAAAGGCAGATGAAAAATATTAAAAATCCTTAGTCACAATTTTTTTTTATAAGCATTTAAAGTTCAAAAATTGACAAAATATGGAAAAATCACGAAAATTAGCAAATTATTTTGAGTTAAGAATTCGTAAAAATTTTTCTTTTTAAATCTCAGATTCGAAAATGAAACACAAGATTCCTTATAAGATTATCTACCTTTATCAATAAAAAAGTCTCTACCGGACAATCAAGTTAAATTTTTATGAGCGTTTGAAATTCAAATTTTTACAACATTGGATATTCACTCGATTACTCATGTCGCGATTTCTTTATTTTGTTGCAATTCAAAAACGAACAACTGTAGATACATGGAAATTTCACTGAATGTTTAAATTAGCATTTTCTATACACCATACAATTTTGAAAATATTTTGACTCTTTTTGAGCTGTTTATGGACATTTACAGCTTTCAATTTTTTTAGTTTTTTTTTCTATAAATATCAATAAAGTTTTATCTGTTTTTCCAAAAATTGTAAAAATTTAATACAAGGCTCCTGATATATTATTACAATATCAGTTGAAAAATATTAAAAATACATAGGCACGATTTTTTTATAAGCATTTAAAGTTGGAATTTTGACAAAATTCATCATAATATCGAAAATTATCAATCGTTGGAATTAAAAAAATTATAAAATGTTCAGTTTTTATAACTAAGAGTTGAAAATTTAAAACAAAGATTCTCTATTTAATTTATACTGTAACCAAAAAATCTAAAAAATATATAAACACACTTATTTTTTACAGACATTTTAATTTCAAATTTAGACAAAATTTCATATTTAAACCAAGAATTACGATTTTAGTTATTTTGTTGTGATTGAATAATATTATTCATGGGTACTTGAAACTTCTAAAGTGTACTATTATATATCTATGATAGTATCACGGTTTTTGTTGATGTATAACGCTTTATAATTATCTAATGGATATTGTGATATGATTAGTTTGGAATTTATTATAGGTACCTATTATAGGTCAATTTTTTGTTTAATACCATATATATGTATATAATATGTCTTATACATAGACTGACATACCGTCACCGCTCAGAATCGTTTTTCTTATACAATGATATTTTATCATTGAATTCAAATTTAATACCATCCATTATACAGTGACCCACTTGTAACCTACTGTACAGCAGAGCGACATCCACTTACCCACCTTTTTTTAATTAAAAATTTATTAAACATTATTGGTTAGTGCTATCAACAAAATGAAAACACCATGGCACAGATAAATTCCTTAATTATACCTTTATTATGCGTTGTGGATATTTGGTAATATTCTACTATAAATACAGAAGAGAGTAAAGTTTTCCCTCGAAAAACAGTTTTTACTATGTTGTAGATTTGTATTACGGAGACAACACATGCGGGTGTGTCGTCCTCTTGAAGACATTGTAATCGCATGTATTACCTCAATTTATTATCCTAAGACATAACATATTATTATTATTCCATTTTACTCTGTTATTTTTAATAACATAAGAAAGGAATTGACTAATGATCAAATTTAAAGGTATATAAGAATATTATCCAGAGGCACACACATGGACTTTTTAGGACTATTTTACATTTTGAAGCAAGTTATGAGCTTTTACTATTGGAAAATAATGGAGATAAAGTTCCACCACGTCCAAATCAACCATGTTCAAAATTCAACGGCAGTTCTAAGTTATAATATATAAAATAGTGCGAAATATATAAAACAAAATTATTTCATGGATAAAGGTAAATCAACGAAGAAGTTTTTTTTTTTTTATAGTTATATTTTAATATTAATTGAGTAATTATTAATTTTGAAACATGTCTAAGTTACTAAAAATAACTGAGTAATTTAAAATTTTAACGATATTGGATTTTCATCGGTAAATTAACGAATTTTCTACCAGTTGTTGATATTTTGTTATTATTAAAAAACTAATAACTGTAGACATTTTCACCAAATGCTAAAGTGACTAATTTACATACATTTTAATATTTTCAAACAATTTCTCCTATTCTTGAGCTATTTATAATAATAAACATTTTTTAAATATTTTAAATGATTTTTCAGTTATAAGCTGAACTGCTTTTCATAGCTAAGGTTAAACATTTTAATAGAAAATTTTATAAGTTTTTCTAAAAATAAAAAAAAAAAAGTTTGCTTAAACGGAACACAAATTTTTTATCAGTGTTTGAACTTATCATTTTTATGATATTTGATATTCAGCGGTGAATTATCGAATTCCCATTAAAGAGCCCGGTGCCAGTTTTTCAAATTTTCAGCAATTCTATACAATTTGAAAATTTTTAGCTGAAAGAAGAAAACTTCCTACAG